TATTTACTAATAATTAATATTTTATTAATAATTAATGATAATTATTATTTACTTAGTATAATTAATACTAAAATAATGATTAATATTAATGACGGTTATAATTGGAAAAAGAAAATTGATTCAAAACGCTACCCCAAGAGTGTTTCAATAAGTTAGCTAATAGCATCTTCAACAGATTTTTCAAAATTTCTCTAAAATGGAGAACCAAAAATCAAAATCTCCAAAAAGAATTATATTCCTCCCCAACAGAATTCCCTATTTTGAAAAATCCAACATTAATTATAATATTAAAATATTGCATACATCTATTAATATTATTTCTCTCTCTAAATATTCATTTTGAAAGTTTCCTATTGGTGCTTAACACTTTGTAATCATTTTTGGGTGATCTCCATATTTGGAGAAAAAACCCATTATCTTTCATACTTTCTCCATTTTTGAGATAGTTTTGAGAAATCTGTTGAAACAAAATATTGATTCAAAATCCTCAATTTAAAAAGACTTTTAGAGATGCTCTTATAAGTTAGTTTATTTCCATCCAAATGTATATTTAAAAAATAACTGAACTTATAAGTTAGGTTATATTTACTAAACAATGTCTTAATTTATGACATATGTTTTCAGATTTTACTATTTACAAATAAATCATAATAAAGGTAAGTATGGGTTGTGATTTTAGAGGTAGGTGTAAAGAAATCCAAGATTATAATTAATCACACCAAATGTGTTAAGTAATATTAGAAGCGTACTCGCGTAATGCAGCGAGATATATCCATTCAATAACCATCCAATTAATAATTATATATAATTATTAATATTTTAGATTATTGGCTTTTAGTTGATATTCATATACATTGTTTTCTAATAACTTCAGAAAATATATGAATAACTGAATCTTGAATAACAAACAAAAAATTGAAAAAAACAAGGAAACAAACCTTGACAGATGTTGACTCTGTTTAAATAAAATTACTTTGAAAATTGATTATTACACCTGTATTTTATTTATTACTTTGAAAATTGATTATTACAGCTTAAAACAATGAAACACGTCCACATTTTATCTCATGTATCACATTTTATAAAATGTAACTACTTAATTTTTATTATTTAATCTCACGTATCAAAATAAGTATCCAACATTTCCAAAATAACTATATCAATATATAAGTAATTCACCAGATATTTATCGTAAAGTGAATACTGCT